ATATCATTTGTGGGAAAATTCTACTTCTACCAGTCCTTCATCACCTTAAACGAAATTGGGTGAACACATCTTATATATAGTTACATATTATAGAAAAATGTACATTTATCTTTGGTTAGTTCAATGCCTGTTATTATCTTCTATCTGTTGTGCAACTTTTCAAGCTCTTCTTCAACCGCAAGATTCCACCCCAAATGACTTCGCATCGCCAGCAAGTCCAAATTTAGCGATTTCCACCTGCAGAGAAGTTGCAGACTCTTCCAGCCGCCTGCTTCCTACAGCAATAACATCGTATGCATCAGCGTCACAGTCGCCATCGCCATCACCATTTTCGTCGCCATCACTGTCAGCTCTAAGACCCTCCTCACCGGCGTCGGGAGTAGTTCGTCTTAATGCACGGATTCTTGACGACCTGGACTCTGGCTGGAGCTCGAGCAGCCGCACCGTCTCCCAGGTCTCAAGGGGATCCTTCAATTATGCCGGGCTCCTGCCTGGCTCGCGGCATTGCCTACAGCCGACAGATACCAACACTTCCCTCCTCAACAAAGGACTGAAGGAGTTTCCCTCTCCTGAAAACAAATCTGGACTGGACCAAGGAACTGATCACGTCAGAGTCCAGCTAGAGCCTGCTCTCTCTAACGCCGAAGAAGATGAGCAAGCTACCGTCCACGCGGAGGTGGCCACATCTGCCTGCGCCACACCCCTACAAGTCATCTCAGTTTCCAGCTCGTCAAAGTTCACCTGCTCGAAGGCCTTATCGTCATCATCGCGTCGTGCCATGCGTGCGCCAGACACTCAGCTTCAGTCCAGCCATTCGATTGGTCACCAGACGATGGTGTTGCCCGCAAGTGAGCCAATCAGCACAGCGGCACCTCATCCGATATCCTTTAGGCCCTGGGCATCAGAGAAAGAGAACCATACAAGGACGTCAGATGAGCCCCACGCCCGACACCAAATGAGTCACATTCACGATTGTCAACATTACTATCATTATCATCATCATTATCATCATCATTATCACCATCATCACAACGACAGAAAAGAAGACGTTTTTACAAAGAAGGCCCACAACAGTGCATTGGAAGCGGAAATGCACCCCCCTAATTTACTTTTCCCGACTCGGCCAACATGTCACCAAGTCAGCCAT